AAAATTATTAACATAAAATCACATTGTCTCAGCAGATCACAAAAGTTAAGATTAAAGAACAAACAATTAAGAAATAAAAAAATAAACATTGAATTAAATTATTAAATGGATAAGTGGGGCCATAATTGACAGATTCACATAAAGGATCTTTTCAAGCAGCTGTGAGAACTAGACATCCATACAAACTGATTATATTAATTGGTACAGTTCACTTTTATAGTAGCCGCCTATGTTTACTACATTGATTGCTAAAGGGACCTCACCTCATATGCTTAATCTTATAAAGGCAATTGAATGTTTGGTGGCTTAAGTACAGTTTGTAGTGAGTGAACATGGGATCTAGAATGGGTTTACCTTATTGTCTTCATCTTCTCTTCCTTTCATGGTTTCTTTCTGCTCATGTCTTCTGTTTGTTAGCCGTAGCGCAAAGATCCACTTACATTGTCCATTTGGACAAATCCTTAATGCCTAATATCTTTGCTGATCACCATCATTGGCATTCTTCCACTATTGATTCCATTAAAGCTACTGTTCCTTCATCAGTAGACAGATTCCACTCTGCTCCAAAACTTGTTTACTCTTATGACAGTGTGATTCATGGCTTCAGTGCTGTTTTGTCCCAAGATGAACTTGAAGCTTTGAAGAGTTACCAGGTTCGTTTCAGCATACAAAGATACAACTGTTGGAACCTCACTACACCTTACACATCTGATTTCCTCAAGCTCAATCCTTCATCTGGTCTATGGCCAGCTTCTGGATTAGGCCAAGATGTGATCATTGGTGTTCTTGACTCTGGCATCTGGCCTGAATCTGCGAGTTTTCGAGATGATGGTATGCCTGAAGTCCCCAAAAGGTGGAAAGGAATTTGCAAGCCCGGCACACAGTTTAACACTTCATTGTGCAACAGAAAACTTATTGGGGCTAATTACTTCAATAAGGGAATTTTGGCTAATGATCCCACTGTGAACATTTCCATGAATTCTGCAAGGGATACTGATGGTCATGGCACACACGTTGCTTCCATTGCTGCTGGGAATTTTGCCAAAGGTGTTTCCCATTTTGGATATGCACCAGGAACAGCAAAAGGAGTCGCTCCACGAGCTAGGCTAGCTGTGTACAAGTTTAGATTTGATGAAGGACTTTTTACATCAGATTTAGTTGCTGCTATGGACCAAGCTGTGGCAGACGGTGTTGATATAATATCCATTTCTTATGGGTTCCGTTTCATTCCCTTGTATGAAGATGCGATATCTATTGCTTCTTTTGGAGCTATGATGAAGGGAGTGCTAGTTTCAGCTTCAGCTGGAAATCGAGGTCCAAGCATGGGAAGTTTAGGCAACGGATCTCCATGGATCTTGTGCGTGGCATCAGGCTACACCGACCGAACATTTGCAGGAACTTTGACTTTGGGCAATGGCTTACAAATTAGGGGGTGGAGCTTGTTTCCTGCAAGAGCCTTTGTCAGGGATTCACCGGTGATTTACAACAAGACTCTAGCCGCTTGCAATTCAGACGAGTTGTTATCACAAGTACCTGAACCCGAAAGTACCATCATCATATGCGATGATAGTAATGGTAATAATTGGGATTTGTCCAGTCAATTTTTTTACGTCACTCGAGCAAGACTTCGGGCAGTCATCTTTATCTCTCAGGATCCACGAGTGTTCAGGTCCGCTTCTTTTTCCAATCCTGGAGTTGTGATTGACAAAAAGAAAGGGAAACAAGTCATCAATTATGTAAAAAGCAGTGTTTCTCCCACGGCCACCATCACGTTCCAAGAAACGTACGTGGATCGAGAA